CTCACACCCTCATCTTCATGGGGAAGGAGGTCTAGAGCCCCCCCCCGTGTTCCTTCCCTCTTCACCCTTCCCAGAGGGTGCCATACCCAGGCCCGTCCCTGTGCAGGTTACCTGGTGACTCTCTTCTTAATCTCAAGCAGTTCACCTTCAAGGTCAGGGAGTCATACCCAGAAACCAAGACAACTCAGGTTGATCAGGTGTGAAGGAAGCCAAGGAGGCCCCTGACAGGAAAGGAGACATTGGTGGTCAGGGAAGGCTTCTTGGAGAAGAGGGCACCAGACTTGTGGTTAGGAGTCAGATAGGTGGAGAGAGACGAATAAGCAAAAATCAGGGCAAGATGACCTGAACTGCTAATCACCCCTTTGGCTTGAGAGTACTGGAGGACATATCTAGGCTGCATAGGATCAGGAGCCCAGAAGTCACTGCTGGTCCCATCCCAAATGTCCTGCAAGGAGCTGGGGCCCTGCAGTTCCCCCAGCCATTCCCAATGCTTTATCATGAGCAGTGAGCACTGGGGCTGGTCTGGGGACACAGCTCAGGGGTGACCTCTGATGGTTATCAGATGGCTCCATGGTATGAGACCTCCCCTCCAGGAGGCCCCTGGGCTGTATAGCCTCCTCCCCAAGGCTCTTGTCCACCCCCCCACCTCTAGGATCTCTCAGGATCTCAGCTGTGGGGCCACTGACTGAGGTTAAAGAGCATCTGAATGCTCCACAGAGCAGGAAACTGAGACCCCTGAGGAGGAAGGCCTAGTCAACCAGGGCAGGACTCCAAGCCACCGCTCCCACATGGACCCGCTCAGGTGAACCCAGCATAAGGCCACAGAGATGGGTTATTGAACTAAGGCTCAGAACCATGATATCCTGGACTCTAACCCAGCCTGTCACACCCAAGTGCCTCCAGCCAGACCCAAGAAGCAAGAACCCTTGGGATTCAGGCTCCAACTTGGAATCCATTAGGCTGTGCAGTCTGGGTCCAGTCAGATCTAGTCTCTGAGCTGTGGGTTCTTCACTGGTCAGTTGGGGAGAGTTATTGCTCCATGAAGCTGCTCATGAGGAACGAGTAAGAAGGGGAGCAGCTAGGGGTGGGGTCCTTGGGGCCAGCAAGTCCTGTTGCACAGGTAGTATCTGCCCATCACCACAGGAAAACATTGAATTCCTGGCTCTTATAATATTTCTCATCAGGGGGGCCTCCCCCATATCCCCAACCACAGAGACAGAGGTCATGGTCTAAACTGTGATCATGTTTGGGGAGGAGAAGGAAGCATTTAGCTTGTAAGATGAAAAACTCCAGGTATATAGCACAGGATATGTCTAAGGTTGTGAGACAGAGATTGTCCCCTCAGAGCACCTTCTGGAATTCCCAGGTGAGTGGTTCTCAGAGCGCAATTGCAAGAGTGCCTGAATCTAGTGCGGTGCTGTTTCTTCATTTCCCCCACTGAAGCAGTTCTGTTTCTTGTGGTTCCAAATAAATAGCCTTTGGCTGAAATTCTCAGAACCCTAGGAGTTTGTGCTCAGAGTAACACAACAATAACTCACATTCCTAAGAGCCACAAAGTTCCAGCAAACACTTGCCAATGCCTTTCCCTCTGCTTGGCTTCAGAGAGTCAATTCTGCTAGGCCTTCTAAGGAGTACCTAGTTAAGCTGTAGGGAAAGAACCAGGGATGTTTAAGTCTCCTTAGGTGATCTAGCCACATCCAAAGGGAATGCAGGGACCTGAAACTCAGGGGTATAGAGCTAGGGACAACCTGTATCTTGCCTGAGGTGGTCAGGGGGAGCTTCCCAGAGAAGCTGGGCAGGTAGACAGAGGTGGAGTGTGTGGAAGGGAAGAGGCCCATGCCAAGACTCAGTGGGTGGGAGGTACAGGTTGTTGAAATACCAAGAGCTCGTGTGTGACTGGCATTGAGGGTTCAGTGGCATGGAATGTGGGAGCCAAGGAATTCATATGAAAGGGCTCAAATGTCAAGCTGAGAGCTTGTCCTCTACTCTGGCTTCAGAGGGGGAGGCATTTTTAGAGCTGACCTTTACAAAGATGTTGCCTTATAGAAGGTGGTTAGGACCAGGGAATCGGGAGGGTAGGTGACCAAGGAGGAGACTGTACATATAAGGGTGCGGTGATAGGAACGACTAAGTCCTTTGCCCTGGATTCCTTGAGAGTTGGGGAGCCTCATTCCCTATCCCCGAGCCTAGCCAGTTCTAGAATCTTTCTCTTAACAAATGGAGCTGGAGGCCAGCACTCTCTAGGAGTATCCGCACAAGTTGGAGGGAAGTTCAGTGCCCAGGCCTCTCTTCTGCTATAACACTGAAGAGAGAACCAGATGGAGGAACAAGTTGGGCCTAGAAGGGCCCAGGATGTCTACTCTCCCATCAGAGAATCTTGCTACTCATCCTACACCAACACTGACCCAGGCCTGGAAATGGAGCTCATTGGTAGAGTGCTTGCCTACAATGCAAGATGTTCTTGGTTTGACTCCTAACACCAAATAATCTAGGAATGGTGGTACATGCCTATAAACCCAGCATTCAGGAGGATTACAACTTCAAGGTCATCCTCAGCTACATATTAAGTTCAAGGCTAGCTTGGGCTACATGAGACCCTATCTTTAAAAGGTAGAAGGGGGAGTTGAGAGATGGGTCAGCTGTTAAGAGCACTGGCAGCTCTTGAAGCATACCTGGGTTTGGTTTCCAGCACCCACATGGCAGTTCATAACCATTGGTAACTCCAGTTCTAGGGGTTTTGATGCCTTTTTCTGACCTCTGAGGGCATTGCATATACATAGTGTACTTACATACATACATGTAAAACACTCATACACATTAAAAAATAAAAGAACCCACCATGCTCACCATGGCTTTCCATGAGACAAGGCCTTCCTCCTCTGAACACCCACTGCATGGTCACTTATTTCTCAAATGCTCCCTGGCACCTGTGATGTGCCCCTTTTATACTGGGTGATAGGGACAGAGGAGGAAAGCAGAGATGGCCTGGCTTCATCTGGCAACTAACTGGCCTCTCTTTCGCATTAGTACAGAGGTTAAGGAGGAGCCTGCAGCCAGGTTCCCATTAGGCCCCAATGGTAGGCACAGGCCAGGCTTAGGGACCCAAGGACAGTCCAGGAGGAAGGTATGGGACAAAGGGTGCACCAGATGGGCCTAGGGAAGGCAGTTAGGGGACAGAAAAGATGCTATTGGGGCACCTTTTCCTCTTCTCCAGGTCAGCAACACTTCACTGGTACAATTAGTGGGCCTCAGGTTAGGTAGGGGAGGCATCTTATCAGTAGCTGACTAATCAGGCCACAAGAAAACTCCAGAGAAAGGTTTCTAGGACAGGATTCAAACTCCCTTCAGCTTGGAAGCCAGTGGCCAGCCTCACCCTGCTCAGCTTTGGTCCTGGACAGGGAGGCATAAGCCGGAGAAGGTAGGCAGGAGTCCCAATTTTCACCTGGTTTTGTGACCCTGGGCATCACATTCTTCAAGCCTCTATTTCCTCATCAACAAAATGGGGTCATAGGAGGATAAAGTCAAGGGTTTTGTAAACTCTCTCTGCAGAGGAGGTATGGGGAAAGGAAGGTACTCAATGACTCAATTCCAATAACCAATGTGAACCCTTGCTGCTGCACTTGTGTATTCTATTTCAGCCTTCAAAAAGTCTTTCAGCTGGGCTGGAGAGATGGCTCAACTTTGGAGAGCACTGGAAGTTCTTGCAGAGGACCAGAGCTCTGTTCCCAGCACCCACATGGCAGCTAACAACTGTCTGTAACTCCAGTTCCAGGGGCTCTAACACCCTTTCCTGGCTTCTGCAGGTATTGCGCACACAGGTGTACTTACCATAAAATTAAAAAGTAAAATAAAAAGTCTTTCAGGCTATGATCATCACACGTCTCCTCTGTGCACTGCTCTTATGAAGCCCTTTCCTGGGCTGGGATATAGCTTAATGTTAGAGTTTGTTGCTTAGCATGCATAGAGGCCCTGGGTTTGATCTTCATGAGTGCACACACACAGAGGGGAATTTTCCTGGCCTGTTTTAAATGATACCTGAGGTTGATCTCTGGCCTCTACATACACACACATACACACAGACACACACGCACCCACATATATGACTGCACACATATATACATATTTACACAGAGTCTTCATAGCAACTTTACACTCAAAGATGCAACCTAACACTAACCCTGCCCTTTAACCCTAACTCAGAACCCTAACGCTAACCCCTAACTCCAGCATCTAACCTTAACCATAAATCTCTAACCTTAATCCCAAACTCCTAACCTTAATCTTAGCCCAATAGAGATACCCAGAGAGACAAAATGGTCTCTGTAAAGCTTACAGTCAGGCAGGCAGATAGCTCAGAGGACTTCAAGGTTGCTGGCCTCCCTTTAGAGGATGGTTGTTCAAAGAATCTCTTCATCCCCACAGATAATTGACACTTCCCTGGGGCCCCAACCTGATCCTCAAACGCCATTATTCCAGACTTGATCCTCACAAGACTATGAACCCAGGAACTCTGAGAATGCTATGATGAAGGGAACAGCAGTCACTCATCCCCATAAATCCCCAAACTGACAGGGCTAATTCCCAGCAGAATTTACACTTGGGTCTGGCTCCTAGGGACCCTTAAGCCCCCACTGGGGCCCTAGCACAGTGGGCACTGTCTTTCTCCGACTAACCCTTCCTACAGCACCACCTGCTAGATTAAAAATCTTGGGACAGATTAACATCTTAACTGTCGTTACAACTGCATCTCTGCTCCTTGCCACTGTGTCTTCTGCCTTACAACGCCCAAGCTGCGGGGGAGGACGCGAGCCGAGCAAGGGGGGAGGGGGTTCCTGGGTCTCTAGTTCTGAACCTACGCCCCAGGGGTACACACAACAGGGCGCAAAGACAAGTTTAAATTCAGCTATTCTTCCCCACCAGGAGCGCACGCAGTCGCGCACTGGCACACGGACGTTCCCAGTACGCAAACACACACGCCTGGATTCCAGGGTGTCACTCACCAAGATCCACGCTCTAGAGGAGACAAAGTTCAACTGCGCACAGCAGCCAGTTCACACCATCCAGTTTTGTGCGGTGGCTGGGCTCAGAGCTGTGTCCCTGCCCAGCGCTGAGTCAGTCCCCGCGCCAGTCCGATCGGCTGCGTCCCCAGACTTCTTGGGGTGGCCGGTGCCCTCTAGGCGTCTCTCCTCACCTCCTTGCAGCTCTGGTCCCCTCCAGATGCCCTCGCAGAGCTTCCCGGGGCCCGAGTTCCATGCCCAGCCTCTCAGGGTCCCACGTGCCTTTGATCGCCGCTGTCCCCGCCCGGCCCCGCCTGGCTCTGCACCCCAAGATCAAGCAGCTAGCGGGCGGAGCGGACTCTGGGTAGACGCCAGAGCCGCCCCCCACCCTCAGGGACAGATGCCTAGCCACCTCGCCGCCCGCTTGGGGACGCCGCCCAGCTGTAGGGCCAGCTGTAGGCCAGCGCGCGTTGGCCGCCGGTATTGCACAGGGAGGGGTGGGCGGGGACCGTCACAGCGCTTGGCAGGGCAGAGGCCACCCGCCTCGCTCTCCCCAGCAGGGAGCGTGTGAGGAGAGACTTGCAGAGACGCCCAAGTTTTACAAGGTTTGCTTGGTGCTGCCCACCGAGGGACCTTTGCGCCAACCCACTACTTGCAGTCCGCCGCGCCCCAAGCCACCTCCCCTCTGGAAGGACCTGCTTAGGACTGCTCGGATTAGGCCTCAGGCCAGGTGCAAAAGGTCCTTCCTTCTTCCACCAGCTCGGGAGGGGGCGCTGCTCCTCCCTTGCTGTTCATCTCATCAACAGGTCTCTGAAGTCCCCGTTCTTTTTCCTCCCTCATCTGGAGCTGTTTCTATTCTTCTCCTTGCCGTACTCTAAGGACGTTCTATAGTCATGAACTGTTTCTGTCCCTGGCCTGGCCTGAGCTCAAGAGGACTAGGACCACGTGGGCCACCTCTCTATTGCTGTCCTTGGACTTGAGTGGGTAGATGAATGAGTGTCTGACCCCTCCCATTTCTGATCCAGGAATCTGGAGTGTAGGCCCTGGGCCACCTTTAGCACTGAGAGATCTTGATCCAGCTCCAGTCCCTCCAACATAGGCCCTGAGCCTTGCAAGGCTGCACCTCATCTGACCAGAACCTGGCTGCCAGCCCCAAGAAGGGCCCAGAAAGGGTGCTGGCTACAGCTCTACCAAGAGCTGTGTGGCTGAACCACCTCTGCAGTCTCCTGAGTCCTTCAACTTGGAACAAAGGAAGGCCCCTTGTGAGCCTCCTCTGCCTGCTGTTGGGACTGCCTTTCAAGGCAGCTTCCAGGGAACTAGATATCCCTGTGGCCCATACTTGTGAGGTCCAGGCTTTAGGGTCCCAGTGGGAGGGGGGGTGTTCTTGGTTATTGGTATCCCCGCTAATTCCCTTCTCCTGCCCCTTTCAAGCCATCAAACCTTCTGTTACTGCTGCTCCCTCCATCATTTAACTGTCAAGATGAGGGACCAGGTTGGTTCTTAGCTTCTAGAAGACACACTGGATGGACAGTGGCCAGTCCAGGGCTTTGCACCTGCTGTTGTGGTCCAACTCCTTGACTTTACAGCCAAAGAAACTGCATTCCTGAGGTATGTGACATCTGAGCTGCCATGTCAGGAACTTAGTAAGGAGCAGAAAAAAGGATTTGTCCTTGAATCTCACAGCCTTGGATCCAGACCCGTTTTCCTTCACCTTTCCTGTGACTTCTTTCTGAGCTTCCTTCTCCTTTTCTTTCTATTTCCTTTTTATTTTTGTTTGGGACAGGGCCTCCCTATGTAACACAGGCTGGCCTCAAGCTCACAGCAGTCCTCCTGTCAGCCTTTCAAGGGCTGCTATTATAGGCATGTACCACCATGCCTGGCTGTCAGTCTCCTCTGTACAATAGAGCTAAACAATTTTTACCTGCTGGTCTGACTCAATGTCTTTATTTTGGATCCCGAGCTTCCTGGGTCTGAGGAGTGAATCTCCCCTCTCAGGAGGGCCTGAAAGACTAGGTTATCTGATGGTTTCCTAGACACTTATGAAGTGTGGTATTTTGGAGGTCACCAAGTCCAGCAGATTTCTCTTACCATCTCACTTCACCTTGAGTACCTTTGCTTTTATATTTTTGTTTATTCACAACTTGAATTTGTTGAGCTTACATAGAAGATTTTATGGCTGAAAGAATCTAGAACCATTGATCCATCCAGGAAATTGAAGCCCAGTGAGTCACAGTAAGCACCATCTGAAGGGGAGAATAGCATTGAAGGCAGTTCCCTGAACCTCTCAACCAAGGCAGGCTAATGATAAGGCCCAGGCACTGTAATGGTCCCCATGAGGTGGGTAATGGGGTCATGGGAGCAGCTGCATTAGCAGCAGCAGGTCAAGAGGGGATGGGTAAAGCCCTCACCCTGGCTCCTCCAGTGCATGGTGCATTAGAAGTCTTCCTGTCTCCCTAGCCCTGAGCAAGCGTTTTCCTCCTGGCAAGCATCCTCATTTTTTCTCTGATATTTCTCACCTCCCCTGAGAGAATTATGTGTTCTGAGACTCCATCATGGGGGTGGAGTCTCTTCTTGGCTCAGCATCTGACCCTCCAACCCTCTGTCACTGCTAGGTTAATACATCTATCATCCCTCACTATTACCCCTGCTTTACAATCTCTTGAAGTCTCCACTGCCCTCAAGGCAGCCCAGATTCCCAGCCTCCACTTTAGGTCTTCCCCTCTCTGCCTCCCTCTTGCCTCTACCTAGCCAGGCTGAGACCTCAGCCCTCACACATCTCCTACAGGCACTGGCCACTCCCTCTGCCCCCAATGTGGTTCTCTGTGCTTGGCTTTGTCCCCCTAGTTCTCAACCACTGATCTGAGACCACACCTAGATGTCCTACCTGTCACCATACTGCCATCATTCTGTTTGTGTTCCCTTCCTATGGGGATCTCTTTGAAGGTGGGACCGAGGCCATCCCACACAGTTGAGTGCCCAGCTGCTGTTTTTATCCCTGTCACATGGTCGGTCAACATGAGTATCTGTTTTGAGTGAATTTGGAAGGACTTTCTTTAGTGTTCACCCTCTTTGTGCTAGTTATTGTGTTATGGCAGCTCAGTACTCATCAGGACCCTGTGAGATAAGTGCTATTATTCCCATGACACAAAGGGAAACTGAGGCCTGGGACAAGAAAATCTAGAGTCATGTATTGAGTATGGCTCATGGGTCTCCTGGTCCTGGAACTGTACCCTGCTGGGAAGGAAGGCCCTGTGAGTTCTTGAACATGACTGGGCCCCGGCAATTGGAACCCATACTGGTGGCTCTAGTAACACATTGTGGGGCTGATTCTCTAGCCTGGTCATCCTGACTCTCTAGATTGCTGCATGACCGTGGTTCTCTATCTCTCCTGTCCTCCTTGTCTACCTCTCTTCCTTCTCCCCTCCCTCCTGCACTCTGCTCCTCGAGTTTCTCTGGCCAGAGCCGGGGCTCTGAAGGCAAACAGAGCCTGGAAGCTCTGGTTGTCAGCATGCTGGCACCCTAGGGAGGTGGTAGTAGGACACGGAAAGCCTGGTCTTCTGCCTTGGTGTCTGCCTCTACCTCCCCCAAAGCAGGAACAGCCACCTAATTTGCAAGACTCTATACAAAATAAAAATGTGAACCCTTTACTTAAAATTATTAAGAATTTTAAGATGGTGGCAGCAGAGTATTAAAACCAAGTCCTGGTCCCCTCAAAGCACGGTCAGACTAATGGTACAACTCCTACATCCAGAAAACCAGCCCTGCCCTTGAATCATGATTTCTTATCTGTTAAATGGGCTAATTGCAACCATCTAGCCAGGCACGGTGAGGAAGAGGGAGGAGAGGTGAGTAGGAGTTTTCATGAACAGCATGAGGATTGGGTAGGTGTCTCCATGGATATCACTTTTTATGTGTGTGTACTTATAGGTACACAGGTGTACATGTGAAGGGTACATGTGCATATGTGTGCATGTACGTGTGTACATGTGCATGTGGAAGCCAGAGGACAACCTTAGGAATAATGTCTACCTCCTTTGAGACAGTATCTTCCCACTTGCCTGGAGCTTGCAAATTAGGCCACACTGGCCAGCCAATGAACCCAAGAGGTCCTCCTGCCTCTGCACAGCCAGTCCTGGAATTTCAAGCATGCATCATCACACCTAGCATATTTATGTGGATTCTGGGGATCAAATTAAAGTCTTCATGCTTGTAAAGCAAGCACTTTGCCAACTGAACTATCTCATCATCCCCACCCTTACCCCTGAACATCATTTTTTTGTGTGTGAGTTAATTCTTGCCAAGAAGCTAATTCTTTTTAAAAGTATTTTATTTTTATTTTTAATTATGTCTATATGGATGGGGGAACACATGAGAGTAGTACCCATGGAGGCCAGAAGAGAGCGTCAGATCCCATAGAGCTGGGGTTACAAGTAGTTGAAAGCCACCAGACATGGGCACAGGGAACTGAACTTGGGTCCTTTACCAGAGCAGCAAGCAACTGTAACCACTCCAGCCCCAAGAATTTGATTCTTTAAAAACTCCTTTTCAGGTCCTCAGAAAAGTAAAGTTACTTGATCAGGATTGTACAGAGGCTTAGTGGGGAAACCCAATATGAGAGAGAGAGAGAGGGAGGGGAGAGAGAGAGAGGCAGAGATAGAGAGGCTGCTCAAGACAAAGAAAGCCACTGTGTGGATACAAAGGCCTGACCACAGAGGCCCTGTGGGAGCTGGGCTAGATGGAGCAGGGTGACCCTGTCCATGGTAACTGGGGGGGCTTCCAGGAGCTGCCACCCAGTCCCTCCCCAGATGGAACAGGAGAAGGGATGGCATGCAGGAGCCAGGAAATGAGTCAGTAGGGGCTCTAGTTACACAGATTGGGCTGACTAGCCAGGCGGGCCCCTAACACCCTGTCCCAGGTCTCCAGAGCCAGAGTCTCCCACTGGGGTAGACTGTCCCAGCAACACTTGGACAGCCTGCCCCATGCTACTCACTCCCCAGTTTACCCTCAGTGAGAGCAATGCCAACCTCCTAATTCAGCTTCTGGCTATTCCCCATCACCCACAGGCATGTGATACAGTCCCTCCATGTGCCATTTAAGGCCCTTTGTGATCTGCCCTGATGCCCTTCCACAGTCACTTGCTCCACGCCTTGTCAGCCTCCCACACCACAGTCACATGGGGCACCCCACCATTGTCCACACCAGTGTCCTTTTACACACCCAACCCTGTGTTTGTACATGCTTTTCTTTCTTCCTAGGTGCTTGCCCCCTGCTCCACTGTGGGCTGCAATCTTCCACCATCCAGCTTTCCTCCACCCCCGCAGGTGGATTTAAACTCACCCATTAATACACCAGTCCACACCAACACAGAAGTTGGATAGACTCACTGTCTTATCCCACGCTGACTTATGTGGTAATGTTTGGATCCAGAGTCTGCCTGGGAGGCAGGCTGCATTTGAGCTGAGTT